CTATCTATCTGTCTATCTATCTATCTATCTATCTATCTATCTATCTATCTATCTATCTACCTACCTACCAACCCATCATCTATCTATCATCTATCTTGCCATCTAGCTACATAGAGGAATTTCAATTGTTTTTATTTTTTAATAAATACTATAACATATTGTTCAATGACTTTTTACTTTGTAATCAATCTTGAAAATCTTCTCATGTCACTCCATGTAGATATACCTTAATTCTTTTAACCTCTGTGCAGTAAATCCATAGTATGAATATATTATCATTTTCACAATCAGTTGCCTATTGATGTACATTTAAGTTATTTCTAGTTTGTCAATTCATCAACCCGTTTTCTTTAGATTGCTTCTGAATTTCAACACCTTACTTAGAAACGTTTCCCTTTTCATAACCACATTGTAAAAATAAACCATGTCCTTTGATGGTTTTTTTAATATGAAGCTCTTTAATATTAACCTACATCTACTTTGAATTTTTTGCTGAGGACGTGAGATGGGGATTTAATATCATTTTTTCCCATGGGTATCCAGTTTTCTCAATGCTACTTTTATTTAGGATGTGCTGAATTTCATACGCTACCTGCCAAGCTTTTCTACATCATCCACTGTCTCCGGCAAGGTGATGCCCTTGGTCTCAGGCAAAAGCATCACGAGTCCTCCACAGACAGATGCCAGGACACCTGCAGAACAAGGAGAGCATCACCCGTGAGGAACACGCAGCTGGCCGCTCCCCGCTCCGGCTCATTCTGGAAGCAGCCGTGCTCACCAACCTTAACTAGCCCTCGACAGCAGCAACCCTCTGGTGACACCAACTAGCTCTCCGGTTTCCTTTTGCCATGATTTCTGTACCTTCCTCAAATTCCGTGCAGTCCCTTCGCCCCTGTACTCTTGGCATACATTCGCTCATTCGCTCAGTCGCTCATCAAACAGTTATTTATCGAGTGTCTAGTATGTGCTATGCACTCAGAGAAGACCTCATCTCCCACTTCACGGGGACAATCCAGGCCACCAGAAAGGAGTTCCCTCAGCTTCCTTTTGCCAGCACTAGAAGGTCCCTGCATCCTCCCCGTCTCTACATTCCTTCCGCCATGTTACATGGTAAGGCTTGTCCCTATTCTGCCCAAGGGCCGTCTCTTAGAGTCCTTTTTGGGCTCCTTGCCATGGCGATTGTCTCTCGGCTACCGTTAGCCCGTCTTTCGTCGGTAGAAACTTCTACCGACCTCACTTTATCCACCAGTTACCATCCTCCTGTTTTCTGTTCTTCGGAGTTGAAATTCTTGAAACATTGTCCTCTCCTAGTTTTTACACATCTTCTTATCCTAGCGGCATGCTGGGGAATTTTTCCCAAAAATAAAGCCCCGATTTGTAGCGTCTGCCCATTTCCATGGTGTAAATACTCCTACCACGGACGTTTCAAACTACCGCTGAGACATCACTGACTGGGAAGAGACGTGCAGTGCCTCAGGGTTTCCACCGCAAAGGTACAGACACACCAAAAGCCTCGAGAACACAGATAACAGTGAACGTAAATTTAGGAACGGCTGAGTCTTGAGTACGTTATCTGTTTTTAGCATCTTTTATATTTTTTTATTTTTTAATAATGGCTGTTTAACAACTGCCTCAAAAATTCTTGAAAACTCTTATGATCGTTTAAGAATGAAATAAAATTGTTTTTTTCAAAGAAAAAAATTCTCGAAAATTTAACAATTGGCCCGGGTGGGCTGTGCAAGCCGGGTCCGACACCGCTGCGGGTCCTCTCCCACCTCCACCCGATCTGATCTGGGTTCTCCCCAGTCTCCTCCCGCCACCCTGCTCGAGCTGGATCACTACTAGCTGCCTAGCGCCAGATCCCATGGCACGGCGTCTCAGTCCTTGCTCCTAGCCCAGCACTGGCAGCTGGTGAACGCACCTGCTGTCCCCTGGTGTCCCCACCCCCTAGTTTCTGGTTTTCCTCCTACCCGTCCCGCATCCCTTCTCATCCCCGTGGCCCACTCCTCTCTCTTTGCTTGTCCTGACACCTGGTCACTCTTCAGGGCTCTGTCCCGCGCCTCCTCTTTCCTCTCACTCTGTTCTGTATTCTGGGTGGTCTTGGTCACTCCCAGAGCTTCTGTGGTTATCTACATTCACATGGCCTCCAAATCTCTATTGCTAGGCCACACTTCTCTCCTGAGCTCAGCTCCGTCCAAGCATGCTGGCTTCTCACAATTTCTTAGAGGCGCTTCGTACTACAGACAGCCCTGTGTCCTCTTGCAGACCTGCTCCTCTGGGGGTCACTAAACTAGTGCCTGTGCTGTCACCTTCAGTTTTCCCAGCCAGGAGCCTGGGCTCCCACCTCCTGCTCCCTCTGGCTCTCGCCCATCAATCATCCCATCTCATGAATTTTCCTTCTGATATATTTCTTAAATCTATCTTCTCCTCAAAATCCCCACTGTCATCACCTTAAACCCAGGCTTTATGATCTCTGACCTGACTAGACAACATTCTTTTAATTATTTCACCACTAGCCTCGTCGCCCCTCCAATTTATTTGCATATCTGTCATCAGAGTCATCTTTTTAAAATGCAGATCATACACTGTCAACCCCACCTGCAAACTCGGCAGTCACATCCCATGAGGCCCCTCACGATCTGGCTCCAGCCCACCTCCCAGCTTCATCTCTCCGGGCCCCACCTCACACACCACGCTCCATCCTTCGGCTACCTGGCTGCCAGGTAACGGCTGCTCCTCTTGTTCTAGGCCTCTCCACACCCTGGGGTACCAGCCCGCCCCTCTCACGCGGATAATTTCCACTCAGCTTCAGATCTCAGCCCAGATGCCGCTCTCTCCCTCCCTCCCTGACTTTCCCTCTTCGACTCAGCACGTCGGCTGTCCCAGTGACATGCTCACACGGCACCCTTTACTTTCAGCGTTTGCCACACTTTTATGTGACTGGTGCTTTGGAAAGCTGGCTCTCTCTGTGAAGGAAGGGCTGGCACTACATCAGCGGTGCCCGGCTGACCTGGCACGCGGTGAAGGCCAGACCCCAACCCTGAACGACACTCCTGGACCACTCATCGTGGTGGAGCTACGGCCCTCTCTTTGCCCCTTTTCATGCTGGCTCCAGAATCAATGCTGAGCTTGATGGTCAGATCACATGAAATAATTTGAAATGATCTTTTATCGATTCCACTGGTGTCGACTGATTAGAAGCTGACTTTACTGTCCCTAGCACTGTGAGGATTTTCGCATGACTCAGCACGTATGTCCTCATGGACTCAGTATTTTCATGGTAATTTAAACTGCTGAGCGATGAATGAAAAAGGAAGTGGAGATGGAGGAAAGTCAGGTGAGGTCGACCCACCTGT